AACTTAGATTACATTAAAATGACTTGAATCTTGTATGGGTAATACATAAAAGTTGAAAATTACTTAACTTATTTTGATGAGCATTGTAAAATCACGTTGTCATAACTTAACGATCGTAGCATTTTTTACAGTGTTGTAACGCGTTGAATATTTCAGCGTGATGTCCCATGCAAACCCACACACCTGCTGAAGGCTGTCTTGCACTAAGCCTTGGTCTTCTGGATGTGCAAACTCCAGAACGTTCTTCCCCAGTAACTCCTGTGTCACATAACACAAAACACCAGTGAATGAAATTGATCCTTTACTGAAACAACAAACCAAAATTGAAGCTTTCATTTAGCTGAAACATGTATATATATAAACATTTAAAATTTACACAAAGTTTTTATATCAACTTTTCAATTACATACTTGTCTTTCTTTTCAATGTCATGAAATGTAACCACTTAAAAGGTGGCTGTAACTTGCTTCATTATTAATTAAAAACACAATGAATAAGTAATACTAGAAACTTATTCATAAACGTATATAGATACTAAGGACTAGAAATCGTTCTTGTGTCCACGCGGCTGGCATATTTACTTGTTGCAGTAAATCCACATTTCATGCATGAAATAGACACAGACACCGTCAAAACTCAGCATTGAGAAGCGCTAATTAAACGTCACAGCTTCAGTCAATGATTTCGGCCCTCCAAAACCATTTTATAGATATTTTAACATGTTCAGTTCTGTTGTGAAATTTCGGTGCATCACTAAAGCAAGACAATGAAAACCTGAAGCTGATCAGCTATATCAGCAGCAGAGGCATCTTAACACCCTGCACCTCAGAAATGACTTCCTTTGGCCACGAGGTCCAGCCTGACTCCGGCTTTTGAGGCTCACCTGAGGTTGGTAGCCCACTGTTGCTAGACAGCGGTGATCCACAAAGGTGTACATGCCCTGGCAGTTGTGGCGGGAAATAAACTCCACTGGAACGCTGATGTTATTTATGTTTTTGTCGCCTGGGCAACAGGTGACCTGCATGAAAAACAGAGGTCAGAGAGGAACTAAAAGGGATAGTTTTTTTTTTAAAATTCTGTCATTATTTACTCACCTTCATTTCATTCCAAACCCATAAGACTTTCATTCATCTTTGAAACGCATATTACAGGGGTCCTATTATGCCCTTTTATGAAGTCTTGATTTTGTTTATGGTGTGTACTAGACCAGTGGTTCTCAACTCCAGTCCTCGGGAAATGTCACAACTCTCCATAGCGGAGAGCTATACTTCAGTGTAAATATTAACAATGGAGTAAATTTCAGACCAATTCGAGCTGGATTCAAACGCTGACAATGTAAACAAACAAGAGGTGCGTCCAGAACGGATTTCAAGCACGGATTTCCCAGGACGTGTGATTTCATAAGATCTGGATATATTACGTTATGTAGTCCAAACAAGCCGTTCATTCAAATAAAACAAATCTTCCTTTGGAGTGGACTTTAGCCCCTTTTCCACCAAAGCATTTTGAGAGCCGGTTCGGAGCCGGTGCCTGCGCGCAAACCAGTTCTTTGTGTTTCGACAGCCAAAGAACCGGTTCTCGGCCAGGAGAACTGGTTCCAAAGCGGCACCAACTCTTTGCTGGACTAGAACCGTTCTTTTACCACGTCATGTTTACGTCGGGGTCTGGGGCGGGTTTAGATGTGTTCTAAACATCTTTTCTGACCATAATAAAGGATCGCAAAGCCAAGAGAAACATTTGCAGAAACACGATGGAGTCCGTCTTTGTAATTGTTATGCTTGAAGTCAACGCAAGCGTTTCTATTTTTGTAATTTTTTTATTGAAGACATTATAAGCAAAGAAGAAAACAGTCACAATATAGAACAAATAAATGGAAAGAAAAAAAAGACACAAGACAGGGGTACATAACCATCAGAAAAGCTTACATATCAAACGAAAAGATTAAAAGACTTATATATTTCAATTGTTTTTAAAGCTTTCTTGGTACACGAGTTAGAGATAATCCGAAAGTAATGTTGTATTTGCAAGCGTTTCTAAGACGTATGGCGACGTACACAGTGACGTAATGACGTCGTTCCCTGGGCGCTCTAGTCAGTGGAAAAACAAACAGGTTCTGAAGCGGTTCGCAAGTTGAACCAACTCTGAACCAACTTTGAACCAGCACCAGTTCCGAACCAGTTCTTTTTTTGGCGGAAAAGGGGTATGTGTAACCTTGCAGATCTTTTTAATGCTCAAACAGCATCATTACACACTAACAAAAGTTGAAAAAGCATAATAAGACCCCTTTAAAAATGAAACCACAGTGATTTCTGTCCCAACATTGTAAGTCCACACAAACGATACTTGACGTATTAAAACGTTCATAAAAACACTTTATTGTTGGCTTGATTATTGGCTTTTATTCACATTCAAACATTGATCAACTCACATAGAGCTCATCAAATATGGCAATGGAAGCTCAAACGCAAGAACAAACCGCATTGATACTCACTCGTCAAGTAAGCTTATTTGAGCTTATGTTTTCCATATTTGATGAGCTCTATATATGTGCTTTGATCAATATTTATGTGAATAAAAGCCCAAGTTTTTGTGGAATGGACTTTCAATTGAGAGAGAAATCTCACAGGTTTCATTGAATTTAATTAAATTTGTTTCATGTGTTTTAAAGATGAACAAAAGTATACGGGCTTGGAACGACAAAAGGGTGAATACAAACAAAATATACAGAATTTTCATTTTTAGATGAACTAGTCTTTTGAGGTGTTGGTTATTAATGAGACATTTAATAATAGTTAATCTAAAAGTAAACATGGTCATAATTTATTCACCCTATTTTGTTCCTAACACAAACGTAGATGTTTAGTAGAAGGTTGATGTTACTCTTTTACATACAAAGTGAGGAAAAAAGCAGCATGAACAGTCTACTAAACTTCTTTTTAGGAAGAAATGAGGTAAGTTTGAGTAAATGACGACTTAACGAATTAATGAAAAAACGAATTAATTGGAAATTTAAATAAAACGGAAGGGAAAGAGCACCTGTAGTCTTCCGATGGCGACTAGGCAATATCGATTTCCCTGATTATTATCAGCCTCCTCTTCAGTGAGAGTCACTCCTGAAAGAAAGAGAAAGAGTTAAAAGGACAATATCGGTTCCAGCTGTTTTCTGACTGAACTCTGGTAATATCAGTGAGCAATAGGGTCTTCATGTGTATTGTGCTACCTGCAGGAGGCCAGGATTTGATGAAGCCTGTGCAGTGCACAACCACATACTGCGGTTCACCGTCCTTAGGAGGACCCAATCCATTCCTGCAGAAGAAGAGAATGATCTTCATCTATGTCTGTTTGTGGACTGAGATCTACAGGCTGAGAGATGCTTTACCTGTTTCTGCTTCTCAGGAAGTTGAGTCTGTTCATGGATACTGGCTCTACTGGGCATACTCCACATCTGAACACACACATTACAATCAATGTAGCATTTGAGAAATTTTGATATATTAAGATTTAATACTTTTTCCCAAAATATACTTGTTTCTCATGCATGCAAACGACATATAACTTGACCTACTGGGTGAGTTGCGTAGTACTAATATATACATAGGAATTGAATACGTGGAGCAAAAAACTGTTTGCTAATATTTTATACTTTCATGACCTTAACCAATAGTCAGGAGGATCTTTCTTTCTTAAAATGGAACAAAAAAAGTTAAATCAAAATGATATGTTTTGTCACATATCTGATAAATCAGGCTTTTGTGGCTCATATTGTATGATACAGTTTGAATATGGAACTCATAGTCCAGGAGAAAAAAAACAATTTAATTTTAGAAAAATATGCAATTTCTTCAATATGCTAAAAAGTAAGATGAAATTCTGATAGCTTTAACTTTAAATCAATGAGATCTTTAAAACAGTATAGCAGATACCAATATCAGTCGACACTCTATATCGCCCAATAACATGTCCAGGTGAGATGATTTTTGAATGCTTATTTTTAAAACATATAATGCAATGCAATGCAGTG